TGGCACAGCGGCAAAGACGGGGCGGGAGATGGGCTTGTCCTTTTCTCCCCCCTGTTTTTTAGTTTGTTTGAGTTTTCATGTTTACCGTGAAATCGGTGGTGGCACATTCAGCCCCTTCAGCTGTAGCAGACGGGGTCTTTGCCTCCCACCGAACTTCCCTCCTCGGCCTATCCATAGGGACCCTGCAGGCAGTAGGAATTCCCTGAGCCCCGGTTCGGGTTTGGCAGCCCAGCCTGTTGGAACCCGTCTCACCGAGGATGGCTGAGGGCTCTCAGGCTTTGCTTGCCATGTATAGTTAAGAGCCTTTGTTTACAGTAGCCATGTTAAGGTGTATTTAGTGCCTCTGCCCGTCTCTGTTCGAAGTCCTTCTTGCTCCCCCCTTGAAGAAAATTAGTTAGGAAATGGCAAAAATTTTGCATCGGAACAATTTTAGCGTTATATACATGGCTTTTCCCTCCTCTGCCCAGCGTTTGTCTGTGAGACGCCGGTGCTCGCTGCCTCTCTGTCCTGTTGTCCCCACAGGTGCTCGGTGTTCTCTGTCCTGTCCCCACCTGTCCCCACAGTGCCCGGCCCGGCCGGGAGCTGGGTCCTTCACCTCGTCCCCTGCAGGCTCCCAGAGCCGCGGGCCCGTGTGCGGCCCCGAGCCCCAAACTCTGCTCGGCTTTGCGCGGGGTGCACTGCACAGACTCTTGTCGGGGCTGGCTGCAGGTCTCCCCGATGGGAATAGGAACGAAGGGATTGCTCCTCGTTCCAGCAATCCCTCGGCAAAGCAGAGGCATCCAGCGAGCTGCTCTTAGCCTGGGGCTCTGGCATCTGCCACCATTGCACAATTTTGGGGTGCCCGCATGCCTCAGGTGAGGAAGGGCTGTGGGAAGTGGAACGTACCAGAACTTGAATTTACGTGAATTTGCTGCCCTCAAAGAAGACCAGGATGGTCAGACTTGTGAATTTTTATAAATGCCTCCTGCCACGGGATCTCCTGCCGTGGGGTCCCACCGCCTGAAGGAGCCCGGGTGCCTCGGGGAAGCTGCCAGCTGTAGGAAGGGCAGAGCTTACAAGTGCTCTTAAACCCACCGGGGCTGGGGGGTGAGTTACTAGTTTTCTGTGTAATGTCTTTCAATTATGGTAATAATGCTTCATTTTTCTAAAGCATTTTGGGATATGAAAGCACCTTTACTGTAAGGGAAGTGATATTTACTTCATTGTTATGGTAGTTATTGCCATTTCCTTCCAGCAAGAATCTCAGGCAGAAGGGTGTCTAAAGCCCTACCTGCTCTTAGCTCTTCTTGGTCGCCTTTATCAATGCTTATAGGCACATACCAAGGAACATAGATCAGCAAAGCAGCAAAAATAACTGCCTCATGAGAAATTCTGACCCTAGAGACTAAAATGTAATAAAATAGCCTCTCTGATCGTGGTGACGTAAATGCTGACAATTAGCAGCTCTTATCAGGGCTTTCTCTTGTGACCCCTCTGACACTTTTAATTTCCCCTCCCAGATTTCAAGTCATTAATCTTTCCTGTGGTTTGCTCGTAAGGCTCCTGGATTTTTCTCCTGGGCTCAGGAGTGAAATTCTTGGCAAGTCTTCCCCTTACCATGTAAAAAAATATCTGATCCAGTTTTGACCTGTTTTAAAAAGTCTGTTCCTCCTTGTGTGATGATTTTACATATTCTTGCTGATTTTATTTGGCACCTGTGTTTTCACCAGGGACATTTCTGGCACGGAGCCCTTTTTCCCTTACAGGATGGGGTGAGCTGTGGCCGTAGGACTGACATCTGCCAGGGGTTGTGAGGGCCCTGGTCCTATTGTGTTATGAGATAGAGGGGTTACCTGAGAGGGTGGGGAGGCTGTGACCTGTGATAAGAGCATTACCTTGGTTGCCCTCTCCCTCCTCAGCACTTATGTTTACTTTGTGCTGCAAGTGGGAGGTGAGTGGGTGCACAGATGTGCTCGTGAGCAGCACTGTTAGCAGGGGTGCACAGGGCTGGGCTGCTGCCCTGGGCGTGGGGAGCAGTGGCATCCTGACACTGAGAGTGCTGCTGTTTGGGTGTGCTGTCCATGGGCTCAGTGCTGTCCCATGTAACCAGTGGAGCCTGTCCCAGTGATGCACAGATGGGATCACCATGTTGTTCCATGTGCTGGCTTGGTGGGATGCCAGGAGAGACGTCCATCCAGCCATAGACTCCAGCTGGGTGTCTTGCCGATCTCTTTGAACCAGGTGCCTAAATTCAGCCTGCATTGTCTGCCAGGAGCTCATATTTGGCTTCTGGCACCATCATACTTGTGCTGTTAAGCTTTAGAGTTTATCTTGGTATTTATGGCCCCTCATCACCATTGTGTCTCAGCTTCTTGCTAGTGGCTTTTGGCTTCCCAAGCTTCCAGTGAGCTGGGGAGCAGCTGCGCTGGAATGCAGTCGTGTTGGTGGGAGGCAGCACCGTTTGGGCTGTTCTCCAGAGGGAGTCATTGAAACTTGGTGTTGCAATCCTGGGTCCAAGAAGGATGAGGACCACTGGTGCCATGAGCATGGGAGCCACCAGAGCCTGGCCAAGGGCTTCTGGCTGAC